TTTTTTTTTATTTCATGCAGTCTTTGTAGTTGTTTCTGTCACCTTCAGGGGAAATGCTGGTCAGAGAAATCCAGATTTGATCTGTCCTTTACAGTGTTTCTCAAAGAATAGTTTGCAGACACATTCCAATCTACCAGCCATTTACTCCTCTATAATGAGATAAGAACAGAAATTGAGACTAAACGTCTAGAAACTGTTAGAGTAATTTGACATTGCTGTGAAATCGTAGCACATGATTTTGTATGTTGTAAAAAGTATTAGTTGTTAAAATACCTGAGGGGGGAAAAAGCTAGTCCTTCACCACAGTTAATTTGAGAAGCACTTCTTCATACAATCAGGTACAAGTCTCCTACAAGACTCCTCTTTCTCTGCTTTTGCAGAATACATTGTAGAGGAGGGAAAAAAACCTTTCCTCTATACTTTTTGGTTACATGACTGAGGCCTGCAAATTAAACTGGCAAATGACAGATTAGCAGGAGAAAAGATTTTCATTCGCACATGGTGGGTGGGGGACATGCTCACAGAAAAAAGTGAAAGCCACAGAGACCCAGAGGCTTATATACCATTTTAACAGTGAAAGTAAAGAAACTAGACAAGAGAAGGGGGGAGTTTGGGCATCTGGGGTTGGGGGTAAATTGTGGGAAGGTGATCGGAAAATATATGGTAAATAAGAGTTATTTAGTAAGGTTTATTACACAGGTAAGAGTAGTTTTCTTCTTCCTGGTACATGAGAGGGGAACACCTTTACAAAAGGAAATTTCTGTCACCTTTACAAAGGGAAATTTATGTCCTGTTTTTAGGCAGAATGGAGGAGAGTACAGCATTCTTCCTGTATCTGCTGATTTTCGATTGCCTTCAGTTCAAAATAATCCTGTGCTAAAGTGGCATATTTTGGGTGGCATATTCTGATTCCCTTCAACATACAGCCAGCCATACCTTGTGCCTCTAGACCTGTGATCTGTTTTGTTTGTTTGGAGCATTTGTTTATGGACAGTTTTTAAAAATTTTATAAGTAATGCATGTTTATTACAAAATTTTAAAAATTCAATAGATGAAGTGGGGGAGGTAAGATCATTCATAATCCCATCACTTTTCACAATTCAGAGTAAACCTCCCATAGTTTTTCTCTGTGTATAGTATAGAAGCATTCCCCACACTCTTCCTTAGCAGGGTTTCTTCTCTGTCTCATTTACTCCCTCAGAATGGAACCAACTGGGGAAATTCAGAACATGCTTCTTGAAGCTTCTTGGCAGCTCCAGAAACACACTAAGATGGGAAGCCAAAGCGAAAAACAATAGAAGAAGCCTTATAATTGGTTTTTTTAAAGTTTATTTATTTATTCATTATTTATTTTGGCTGTGTTGAGTCTTCATTGCTGTGTGCGGGCTTTCTCTAGTTGCAGCGAGTGAGGGCTGCTCTTCATTGTGGTGCGCAGTCTTCTCATTGTGGTGGCTTCTCTTGCTGTGGAGCACGGGCTCTAGGCATGCAGGCTTCAGTAGTTGTGGCACGCGGGCTCAGTAGCTGTGGCGCACAGGCTTAGTTGCTCCATGGCATGTGGGATCTTCCCGGACCAGGGCTTGAACCCCTGTCCCCTGCATTGGCAGACGGATTCTTAACCACTACACCACTAGGGAAGTCCCATCATTGTTTTTAAAATCATATTATCAGATAAAGTTTATCAAAGAATTAAGACATTGAACTTTTTGTTCAAGGTTATTATATTAGGATTGTATGCATTATGAATATGTATATTTTAAGTTTCTGTGATGAATAAAATTTGCATGAATAGCAGTATTTTTAGTTATTTCTGTATCTCATAAAATTTAAAATTAATGGATTGCCTTTTTTACTTTAATATCAATTAGTGTTGCAATTAACTAATCAACTAGCTTCAATAATAGAAAATTACTTTCACAGTAATGACTTACTTTCAGACTAAACCCTCATAGAGCATGCCGGCATGTTTTAGAAGTTCCATAGGTTTTTTTTTTTTTTTTGGTACCCCTGGTTATGAACCATTGTATTAAAAAAATGTATAATAGCCAAAAGATCCCATTTATAATAGCAACTAAAAATATAAAATGCCTGGGGGGGGGACCCAATAATCAATATTTGGAACTAATGTGAAGAAAACCTTAAAACTGTAACTTAGAGACATGAAAGGAAATGGCGAGGCATATCATGTTCAAGGATGAGAATATTAAGAAAATGTTAATTTCTACTGGTTAATCTATAAATATAATATTATTTCAGCCAAAATATAAAAAATTTTTAGCATTTGAGAAACTAATTTTAAAGTTCAGCTGGGAGAAAAAACTCATAAGAAAATGTTTACAAAGAATAATAATGAAATGAGACTTATTTTGCCAAATATTAAAATATACTATTGCAGAATTAAAAATGGTATGGGACTAGATACAAAAATAGTGGAAAAGAGTAGAAACCTAAAAATACCTTGGTGTGTGTATATGTAAATGTAGAAATTGTCATTTCAAGTACTAGTGTTTCAGATATGTCCATGAAAAATGAGTCGATCCATGCTGGTGATTGTAGAACAGGGCAGTAAGCAATTTCCAGTTATTTCCCACTGACTGGTTCCCTCCTTAAGTGTTGCCCTCTCACCACCTTAGTACTTTCTCCTACCCTTAAGATTTTTTTCCCCCTTCCAGATCCCTCCAAAAAAGCCTTCCCTCTAGCTCTAAGGATTCTTATTGCTTTATGATGCAATCAATTTAGATCTCTCCTTTGCCTAACTTCTCTCTTCTAAGTTGAATAGTGCTTATCCTCACATTTCGCAATTAAAAAGGAAAATGCCTAAACAAAACTGTAATTCCCTCACTGTGTGTTTTTAGTCTTCACAGATCAACCAACCAGCTTAAACTGCAGCCAGCTTTAAAAATAGTGCTTTTTTTCTCCCCACAACACAAAGAAATGAGAAATATTCAGCCTCTTTAGTAGGCAAGGAAATGTAAATGAAAGCAATCATGAGTGACTTTTTTTCCTCCTGTCTGATCGGCAAAGATTAAAAAGAATAGTCAGAGGCAAGGTAGAGGAAAGAACACTTTCACACCCAGTAGTGGCAGTATAAATTGTTAAAATATTTCCAGTAGTGTATGTATCAAAAGTATTATTGTCTGTGCCCCTTGACCTAGCAACTCTGCTGGTAGGACTTATACTGCAGCAGATGATCAGGGTTGTTCACAAAGATACATGATCGTGTTCATCCGGGCTTTATTTCTGATTGTGCAAAATGGGCACTGCCATACTTCAGAGTAGACTGAGCCATCATAAAAATTATTTTGGAGAATAATCCTATTTGACGTTGGAAAAAGTTCGTTGGCTGTGAAATGAAAACTAGGTAAAATTTGTAAAGCCTTGTAAAAATGTGAAAGTATTTTCATTTATGTAAAACCACACCAAGATTTAAATAAGCTATTCATTAAATATTTACCGTGTGCAATAGTATTCTGCCAGGTTTTGGGTGGGAGTATGTTGAAAATATAAAATATACTTGTTCTTTAGGACTTCACCCTATTTTTGAACTGTTGAGCTTGAATGTGTACATTTGTTCCTTGCACACCTAGTAGGTGTAGCTGTAGATAATGGAAAGAACATTAAATATAGATAGGGATTTGAATTCTGTCCCTGTAACATACTTGTCTACTCACTTAGACAACTTGTTTGAGAACGAGAATGATGCTGACCTCATGGGATGATGGTAAGAATGAAGGGAGATATAACAAGGAATGCTTTCCACGATACTTGATGAATAGTAATATTAGTTAGTAATGTTTATTAATTATTATTAATGGATTAGTTATTAATTATAGGTAATAGTAATGAATAGTTGGTTCCTTTGCTTTCCCTTCTGGAAGTCTATTTCCTCAGTATAAAACCTGCAACAGGTATTTTGGTTCCTGAGCTACTAAATAAACGAATGAATGAGATACTGGATTTGAAAACACTTTATAAGACTTAAAGCATTATGAAAATGTTAGCTAACTATTCATTGATATATGTAATAATCTGGCAAAAGTTTCATGTATACACATAAATATGTTTCTATGTAAGTGCTAAATGTTATAATATGGGCTATATAGAGTTGTTATAGAATTTAAGCAAAAGAAGGCCTTAATGTGACTGGTAATCATTGAGAGGCCTTCCTGGGGAAGGTGAGATTGGAATGGAACCTTGAATTAAGGTAGGTTTTGAATGTGAGAAACAATATATGCAGAAATGTGTGGCAGAAAAAGAAACAAAATGGCATATTCAGGGAGTAGTGTAAGACTAATCTGCGTAGAGAGTGAATTATTCTTGAAAAGTCATTAGACGGGGTAGGTAGAAGAAGCAAGGTATGGCTGAGACAACAAGAAACCTTACTGATCTGGTGAGAAATAGAGAACCATTTTAAGTTTGGAGGCAAGATAGTAACCCTGCGTCACCAGCACATCAGTGTGTTAGAGTATGTTTGTAGCAGTTAACTTTGGTAATGGAAGTATAAACAAAAATAAATTATGGATTAGCTAATTATTTTTTTCCTTTCACAGTATATAGCTTGAATTCCCTTTTAGTGGCGATAACTATAGCTAAATGTTTTAGAATCGTTGTTGTATTCTTAAAATATTACATGATGTGACTAGATACAATTTTGGAATTTGATTCAAAAATATGCCACAACCCCCAACATTGCCCTTTTCTGAGACTTTTTGTTGTGATAACCTAAAGAAAATTTATAGGCAGTTTCCCACACTTTATGTTATTTGATGTTACCATTTGCTTGTTCTTCCTGTTTTTTCCCCCTGTAGATTTTCAATGTTAAGATGGTTATAATGTCCTTTATAATTTATGTCTATTTTTCATCAAAAGAAAGGAGATTTAAATAATTTATTATAATCTTTAGCTGTAAGTCAACTAAAAACTTAGTTACAATGTATTCACTTTCAATGTTTATTTCCTGAAATTTTCTCTTTCCTTATATTCTTTTTCACATTTCTCTACAGTATGGATGGAGCGGATCTGTGTTTTGAAATCGTAAAACGAGCTGACGCTGGTTTTGTATACAGTGAAGCTGTGGCCAGGTATGTAATTTGTATGAACTCCCCAGAAGTAAAGGTAGAAGTAAAAGAAGGAAATGACAAGGAAATCACATGAAGTGGCCTGCTCTTTGAACTGATGACGAGCATACTGCCACTCTTTCTTGCAAGGAGCATCTCTCTTTTAATGTGCATTAGTGGAACCAAACAGTGACTGGAAATGCAAAATATTGAACAATGAATTGATCTATTTATATGGATTTACAGTTTAACATCACTACTGCTATCTTTTCCATTTCTGATGACTTTTATACAAGGAGGAATTTGATAGCTCTGGAACCGTGTAGAATTAAACTTGGGTCTTTTTGTGTGTTTGATTTTTGCTTTTCAGCAGATGTGCCTCATTAGTTCTTCAGTTTGCCTTTTAGTGATAGCAAATTGTTAGGTGACCAGTTAATCTGAGAAAAAGCATAGAACAGTAGAAGGAACAGAAATAAAAGCACAGTTTTTCTGCTGAATATATTTGCTTCAGGCCAGTGTTTGATCTCCCAATCAAGTAGCCACCATTGTTCCAAGTGTAGGAGTTCTTGTAAAGAACCAATGACTCAAAATAAGGATTTAATATGAAAAATCACAAGAGCCATGCACTGGGCCACTTGCTTGTAGATTTGAAGCAGTACAACTTTCTGTTTTGGTGACAACCATATCATAAATACCCACTCCAATAAATTGCCTTTTTAATACCTGGGGTACAGCATCCCTCCTCAGTCACTAACCATAGTATGTTGAAGGGTTCAAACCCACAAGCCCATTAGGATTTATTAAAACTTTCTACCATTTGAGAAATAGTTACCATTAAATGATTATAACTTTCTCCCTCCTATCATTCTTTTTATAATTATGGCACAATGGACAGATATGGCTGAAAATAGCTTAGAGACTACTTCATGTGACTTTAAGCTTAGAATGGCTTGACTTTCTTCAAATTCTTTGCCCTGCCTTCTCCTCACTGAGGAGCAAGGTCCCCAGTCTCAGGAGATGGAGCAGCCATAGCTATAACACAAGATAAAGAATATACTCAATTGTAGGTAGCTGCTGTTTTGTACTCCTGGAGCTAGGGAGAAGAAGCAAATGAGAGTTTATATATACTAACTTTAATTCCTTCTTTTAACTCCTGATGTATTCATGGTAGAACTGAGGCCAAATATCCTTTTTTCTTTTGTGCCATGTTCACTAAAGCATATTCTAGGGTTTTCTTTTTTTTTTAATCCCATTTTACTCTTGTTTTGAATTCTTATCACAGTTTAAAATTTTTATTTTGTATTGTGTTTCAGAATTAAAAAGCATTCTTTAATACCAAAAGTAGTCAATGCTGTCTTGATTTTTCTTATGACACAGTGGTAAACCACTTTCTTCTACTAAATGAAACTCTCAGACTTTTGCATATCATTGTTCATATTTATTTCTTTAAGAATTTGGGTTTGGGGCTTCCCTGGTGGCGCAGTGGTTGGGAGTCCGCCTGCCGATGCAGGGGTCGTGGGTCCGTGCCCCGGTCCGGGAGGATCCCGCGTGCCGCGAAGCGGCTGGGCCTGTGAGCCGTGGCCGCCGGGCCTGTGCTCCGCGACAGGAGAGGCCACGGCAGTGAGAGGCCCGCGTACCGCAAAAAAAAAAGAATTTGAGTTTTGTATTTTCCCATATTGATATCTTTTAACAGCAGCATCAAATAGGGAAAACTAAAAATTCTAGATGTTGATTTTATAAAAATAGTGAAGCTTGATGGAGGAAGATGACGTTTTCCTTTTGGAACCACAAAAACACTGGGGTACCTGGCATATAGGCTGTCAGAGTTGATGTTAAACCAGTACCGCTTTTACTCTGTTCCCTACTCATCCCTATCACTTTTCCTTAACTTTGAGCCTGCCTCTGCCACGGGACTAGATGTTAGGATAGGGAGAATAGTAGTGTTGTAGAGGTGATGTCATACAGTGAAATGACTTGAGTTCTCTCCCAATCTTGAGATTTATAGAAAAGTTAGATGTTTATATATATCAAGATGATTGTATATCAATCAAGCCTGTTGATTTTAAGATCTACCTATATTGCTGTTAAAATGGTGATTTTATGAAAGGAACTTTCCAGAATGGACCAGAAAAGAGTAGTATTGGGATCAGTAAGTGACACTGCATAGAGAGTGGTTTGGCACAATTGATTAAAAACCCTTCCTAAAAATGACAAAAGGGAGTGGCCTCAGAAAGTATGATTATGTATGTCCCCTACTGCAGAGTACCAATGACCATGTAACAAGGGCACGTAAATCCTTCCTTTGGTTTAGAGCGTTCAACCAGATGACTTCTACCTTCCTTCTCTCTGATTCTGTGATTTTTTGTTGGAAAATTCAGCTTGCATTAGTTATTCTAGTGAGACCAATTGCAAGAAGACTCTGAGACACCAAGTAATCGTATTGATAATGTTGTTTTTCTCCAACTGGCTGAGCGTCAAGAGGAGCAACAAAGCATGACATGAAAGAAAACTGCGTTCAGTCCTTACAACCCAATTAGTGATTACCTCTGTTCTTTCAGAGGTGGTGAGTTGTGGAGCAGGCTAACATATAGGATCAGATTATCAAATCAAACTGTCAGAAATCAGAGAGATATTCTTCCCTAGCACCAGGCTTTACTAAACAGTTATAAGGATATGAGCAATCAAAAGGCTCAGCTGAAGCAAACAGAGATCTGGGCCTTTTAAGGGCAGCTCCTCACTTCATTCCTTCCTGCATCAGAAATGCACCTCTGGCCCAGAATAGATGAGGTCTCTACGTGAGGTTTGTGAGATTCCACACACAGAGGGGAGCATTTAAATTATGAAACATCTCCATTGTGTATCTTGGAGAGTTGTATAGCTTACATGACATCTTCCAGGAAGCCATTCATGCCTCAGAGATCCTGGTTCTGTTTATCATAGGTAGTCCTTAGCCAGGAACATTCTGTTAAGGGAATTCCAGAGATAAGCTTTCTTCAGCCTAGCAAAGAGCTTTTTTAAGTGTAGTCTTTTTTTGCCCAGAGTTGCCAAAGAGAGTAGGCTGAGTCACCTCCCTTCTTTTCTTCCACCCCCAAAATACCTCCTTCCAAAGGAAGTGAGAGGATTGCTGGCCAGCTCTTTTCTTTCCACAGAGTTATCATCATTCCTGATCCTTAGGGATGGAGACAAACATAGATATTGATGAGTTTCTCTGAAAGTATAGGCCACCATGATGCTTCATGAAATGAAGCTTTTTGATTAAAGTTTAGTCAGCAACTCTCTAGAATGTATATGGGTGGATTTTGGTTCTGTAGTCTGCTTGCACACTATTCACATGCACAGCCTCCCAAGGGTCATGACTGGGAGGGTGGAGAAAGATCAGTTTAAATATGTTATATTTGGGGAAAAGAATTCTACCCTGCCCCCACAGAGATTCTAATATGTATGTATATTTGGGTTAAATAATTGAGTATTCGGATTTAAAAATGCTCATTCATTGAGGTTTTTTCTTTTTGAGATAAGAATTTTTTTTTTTTTTTAGAATTTTCTTCAGGCTAAGGATAGAAGTGGCTGTCCTAGTGCTAAGTATCCAAAGTAGTCGTGCTGTTAGGTATAAGCTAGGTCCATATTACCTAACTTAAGCTTACCTACTATTCCAGTGTTCACACCTAGATGCACAAATAGGCTGTTCCTAAATCTTGACTAAATTTGATAATAATAGACTTAACCTTTGTAGCATGCTTTAGAGTTTTTAGAAACTAGAGTTTTTCACACTTGTTATCTCTGCCATTTCGGGGGGTCACAGATCCTCCAAAGCATGATTTGAACCAGGAAAGGGCCACAACACCAAGTTAAGAACCCCTAACTTAAACAGAAAGTTAATTTCAACCGCACTGGCCCAGGCAAAGAGTATGTGACCGTGACCCGCCATGTGTACATTTGCAAAGTAAGAAAAATTGGACATCACAACTGCAGGAGCCTGGCTCCTTCTGCTTAGAGCCCAGTTGTGAGGAGACAATGATAAGTACAGGAACAAAGCCTGGGGGTTTTTTTTCCCCTGCCTTTCATTTTTAAACTAGAACCTTCTGATCAATTCTAATACATGAAATAATGCATATGCTAATTAGAGGGACATTGATGTGAGTTTGGCTAGATAGTAGCATACCAAAGAGGGAACTCAATGGAAATGTCTTAATTTTAAAGCAGGAGTGGAGAAAATTTTTATTGGTCTTGAGTCACAAGCACACACACAAGGTCATTTGTAAGTACCATTAAATTATTTAGTTTTTATTTTAAAGTGTGGGGAATAAAAGATCTGGATAGAAAAAAACAAAATGCAATAAATACTAAGCAATAATTAATGTTAAGTATATTGCATTTCTGTGTCATGGCTAGTTGGGAAGGAAAAGGGGAAAGTGAGAAAGGAAGAGGGATAGTAGGGGGAAAATGACAGATATGAAGGGAATAAAATTCAGAGGAAGAGAAGATGAAAAAGACCCTCAAAGAAGAAACAGTGGGATTACAGAAGAACTTCAGAATGGAGGGAAGGAAATCGAAGTAAGTTCTGAAGTAATACTGAATGAACTGCTCTTGTCACACCCTGTGGCTAGTTGACTCTGTTACCTTTTTGGTTTTTTTTTTTGGCGGTACGCGGGCCTCTCACTGTTGTGGCCTCTCCCGTTGCGGAGCACAGGCTCTGGACGCGCAGGCTCAGCGGCCATGGCTCACAGGCCCAGCCGCTCCGCGGCATGGGGGATTCTCCCGGACCGGGGCACGAACCCGCGTCCCCTGCATCGGCAGGCGGACTCTCAGCCACTGCGCCACCAGGGAAGCCCATTTTTAAGGACTGTTCTTTAAAATGCTTGCTCCTCCTCTGTTCTTCGCCTGGACCCAGTGCGGAGCCTCTGTGGACCCTGATGACCTTGTGAGGAGTTTGACTTCCTAGGACTTAGGCCCAGAAGGAACTCTGCTTTGTTCAAGGATGCCCCACTAAAACTTGATTATGTTGCAAAAAGAAATTGTAGAGGCATAAGAGGGTTCTTCTTTCTTGTTTGTCCTTAAAGCTAAATGGAAATAAGACAGAGAGCCAGCCTCTGCTGGCAGATAAAAGGTTCCCACCCCTTTAGTCAGAATCCTTGGTGTACCTCTGAGCACTGGTCACTTAATAGCAATCCAGTGTAACTAAGTAGAATTAACTGAGTGTCAGAAAACTTTTTCATGTTTTAAGCTTGAATTTTTAGTTTGCAGAGCTATTTTAGTTATGAACTGTGTGAAATTCCTTTGACTTAGATATCTCAGAAAATACAGAACGCATTAATTCTTCATAAAGCTCATAAACTTATGCATCTGCCAACTTTTTCATTACTAAGGTGCACATTCCACCAATCTTGTCTACTCAAATGAAAAGTGTCCGTGGGCAGTGAGTATGAAGGTGGGAGTTATAAACTAGGGACACTGTACATTAAGTTTTAAAAATATAAGGGTTTTTTTTTTTACAGTTTTAGATTTCTTTTGTTTTTCTACAGTCATTACATGAGACAGATACTGGAAGCTCTACGCTATTGTCATGATAACAACATAATTCACAGGGATGTGAAGGTAAGTCATTTTTATCACTAACTTTAATATTTGTGAATAGAAACTAACTTATAGCAATGATAAGAATTAGAAATTTTTCTTTAGTGTTCTTATAAAGAGTAGCTTAAAGTTAATTTTACTTACAAATAAAAATTTGTTTAGCTGGTTTATATGTGGAGAGTTGTACTAGTTCTTAATAGGAACACTTTTTTATCATTTCAATTTCCTTATTTTTATTAAAATATACACACATTCTAAAATTCTGTTATTCCTCCTTCGCCATTATGTGTGTAAGAGAGAAGTGTGAAAATCCAACAAATAGGAAGAACCAAACAATATCCTATACTAAGTTAATTGGGGGGAAATTAGAATTTGGTTTATATAGTAAAAGTTCATCACACACTTATATTTTCTTAATGTTGCAATGTAGAATAGTTAGCATTTTATTTTCTTTGCAGAGAGTTTTTTAAAATAGTCTGAAATCGTAATTATAAATGCAATATAGTTTGTACCCTTAGGAATATGAATATTACCATTATTCAATCTTTATGCCTGTTTAATCCCAGTATCAAGTTTATGAGAACTGTCAGTCCCTGGCTTATAAGGTGTCAGGTAGGACATGGAGGCATGCAAGAAAGGAAGCCATGGGCCTTCCTCCTGATGCCTACCCCCTTTCAAGGCCTCGAGTCACTAAGAGCCCCTGTGGTCTCTCTGGCCCTGTTGTCTACTTTCACGTGCTCCTGTTTTGTCACTGGCCTCTCTCTAACCCGCAGCATCCACAGATATGGCGCTCTCCTTCCCTCAAGATGTGTTATCAAAGGCCTGGCTTCTTTAATGTATTTTAATGGTTAAGAAAATTAAGTAGAATTTAGTTAAATTTTCTATAACGTTTGGGAAATTTTAACTGAAATTCTTGTGGTTAAAAGCTGAGGGAAAGCATGAGCAATTCCAGATCAATCTGGTAGAATGTTATAATAGCAATGAAAAATAATTGGAGAAATGCACAGAATACACATTAGTGTAAATTAGTTGTAAAATGTCTTATTCTTTTTAAATGTGGTAATAGGAAAATGATATTATTATCGCCACTCAACATTAACAGCCCAATGGATACATAGCACTTTTATAAGGAAATATTCTTCAGTTTTGCAAACAAAGAGAATAAGAAGTGTAGAAAGATAAAGGGGGGAGGGAATGGTCAATGATAGCAACGTGCTGTGTCATTCTTTTGCACTTAATTAATGTAAGAAAATGCATGTATACAGAGTGAAGTGTATCTCCTTATATGTAATGACAAAAGTGACAATTTGAGGGACTTCCCTCATGGTCCAGTGTTTGAGACTCCGTGCTTCCACTGCAGAGGGCGCGGGTTTGATCCCTGGTTGGGAAACTGGGATCCCACATGTCGTCTGGCATGGCCAAAAAAAAAAAAAAAGACAATTTGAAAACTTAAAATGTGTAAAACAGATTCTTAGTTCATAGAGTAGCACTGTGTTAAAAACACTTTTGCTCAAGAGGCAAATTTTTAAAATTGAGATATAATTAACGTTTAACATTATATTAGTTTCAGGTATACAGCATAATGACTTGATATATGTGTACACTGTGAAATGATCACCATAGTAAGTCTAGTTACTCTCTGTCACCATACAAAGTTACAAAATGTGCAATATAATATTGACTAGTCACCAGGCTGTACATTACATCCCCCTGACTTGTTTATTTTATGGCTGGAAGTTTGTACCTCTTACCTGCTTCACCCATTTTGTCCACCCAACCCCCTTCACCTCTGGCAACCACCATTCTGGTTTCTCTGTCTGTGAGTTTTGTTTTGTTTGTTCATTTGTTCTGATTTTTAGATTTAGCGTGTAAGTGAAATCATAGGGTATTTGTCTGTCTGTATCTGACTTATTCACTTAACATAATACCCTCGAGGTCCATCCACATTGTCATAAGGGCAAGAGTTTGTTCTTTTTTATGACTGAGTAGTATTCCACCGTGTATGTATGTGTATATTTGTGTGTGTGTGTGTGTGTGTGTGTGTGTGTGTGTGTGTGTGTGTATACACACTACATCTTCTTTGTTCATTCATCCATCAGTGGACACTTGGGTTGTTTCCATATCTTGGCTATTGTAAATAATGCTGCAGTGATATGGGAGGTACACATAGTGTTTTTTCTTTTAGCGTTTTCAAATTAGTGTTTTTGTTTTCTTCAGATAAATACTCAGAAGTAGAACTGCTCGATCATATGGTAGTTCTGTTTTTAGTTTTTTTGAGGAACCTCCATACTGTTTTCCAGAGTGGCCACACCAATTTACATTTCCACCAATGGTATATGAGGGTTCCCTTTTTTCCTACGTCCTCACCAACACTTATTATTTCTTATCTTTTTGATGATAGCCATTCTAACAGGTACGAGGTGACATCTCATTGTGGTTTTGATTTGAATTTCCCTGATGATTAGTGATGTTGAACATCTTTTCATGTACATGTACCATCTGTCTGTCTTTGGAAAAATGTCTGTTCAGATCCTCTGCCCATTTTTTAATCAGATTGGGTTTTTGTTATTAAGTTGTAAGAAGCAATTTTATTTTGAATTCTGTTCTTGAAAGGTAATTATATCAATATCATATGATAAATGATTGACAACGTACTCTACTGTAATACTTTCAATGATATAGTCAGCTTTTTGATTAGCCATGGTATTTGATATAATGACAATCCAAAACCAAATAAAATCCCACAGTAGTTATGTTTGAATGCTGTGCTTCACCTTCTAACTTACATTCGATTGATTTATTCAACAAATATCCGAGTGCCTACTTCATGCAGTATACTGTGCTTGGAGCCCTAAAGGCATTATTATGGTCTCAGTAGAGAGATGAGATAGTGTATCTGTTACCAGCTACTATGGAATAACACACAGTGACTTGCAACAACAAGCGCCATTTATTTGCTCTCAGTTCTGCAGTTGAGCAGAGCTTGATGGGGACTGCCTGATTCTGTTTCACAGGCTGTTGGCTAAGGCGGCATGGTTAGTATCCACAAAGGCTTCACTCACTTTTCTGGCATCTCAGCAGAAGTGAATAGAACAGCTGGAAGCTGGCTAGGCCTTCTTCATAGTCTCTCATTCAGAACATTTCTCTCTTTGTCTTTCTCCCCCCTTCATGGCCCATTTTTCTAGCAGGACAGTGTCTCATGGCACCAAAGGAGCAAAAATGGAAGTTACCAGGCCTCTTGAAGCCTCGACCTGGAATTGGCACTGTGTCCTGTCCTCTGCGTTCTGTTAGTCAAAATGTCACAAGAGTAGCCTGGATTCAAGAGGAGGAAAAATAAGTTGCACCTTTTAGTTGGAGGAGCAACCTATGTGCACAAGAATAGGAGAACTTGTTTGTGGCCATCTTCACAGATAGACAAAACAAATAATTATCGTCCAAGGTACGGGATGGTAAATATAATTAAAAGACAGTCAGAGAAACGTCATGGAGGAAGTTACATTTGAGCCTAGTCTTGAGTCATGGGGGAGTTACACAGGGATGAGAGGATGTTTCAAGCAACAGGATAGTGTGTGCAAAGGCTCAAAGTTAGTTTTGTATTGGATTTTAATAAATTTGTTTATTGTGTCTAAGGCACATGCCAAATAATTTTGAGGAAGCATCCAGAAACATTCTAAGGAAGGGGAGAGAGAAGTGATTCTGAAACTGCAAGTTAGTAAGAAGAAACCACCAGAAAAGGCACCATTGTTGAGTTGGGAAGCAGACTTTCAACACAGAGCACACATTATTGTTGATATTCTTTATATTTCAGTACCTGAAATCTGTACATTTCGCATGGGTAAATGTAATACATTTAGCTAATTGGTAAATTTGAACTCGGGTGTATTTTTCTTAAGACGTGCATCCAAAAATATGTATCGAGTGCCTACTATGTGTCAGGCACTATTCTAGGAACCGGAGCTACATCAATGAACAAAACAGACAAAATCACTGCCCCAGTGGAGCTGACTTTCTAGTTCAGGGAGACAGACACTGATCACTGAGCATAAGGAAGTCAACTGTGTAGTAGGTTAGAAGGTGAAAAGAACTACAGAAAAAAAGAGAGCAGCCAAAGGGGTAGGTAGGGACTGCTGGAGAAGGGGTTGCAATTCTAAATAGGGTGATCAAGCAGACCACGTTGAGAACCTGACCTCTGGCAAGGACTCGAAGGAGAGAGAGAGAGTGCACTAACTGACATCGAAGGAGGAGGGTTCTGGGTAAAAGAACAGCCAGTGTAAAGGCACTAAGGCAGGAGCATAAGTGCCCTTTTGAGCAAGAGCAAGGAGGCCAGTATGGCTGAGGCGCAGTGAGCAAAGGGGAGAGTGGATAGTAGATAAGGTTAGAGAGGAAAGGAGGGGAGGGACTTTGACTTTTACTCTGACAGAAATGAGGATTCACCAGAGAGTTCTGAACAAAGATGGACTATGATCTGACTTTCCACGGTAACAGGACTACGTTGCTTTGTTGGTAATACATTGAATAGGGGCTCAAGGGTGGAACTTGGGAAACAGGAGATGCTCCTGCCTGGCAGGGCCAGAGTGGTAGCAAGGAGGTGGTAAAAAAAGTAGATTTCCAGATATATTTGAAGGTTGTGTCAACAGGATTTACTATTATAATTTCAGTAATTTAGGTAACCCAAAGTAGTTTCATTCAGGACCTTATTATAGGGGTTTTCCATTGTAGTGATCTTTAATAACAATACATTTCACATGGCTAATAATTTAAAATTTCACTTGATGTGTTGTTACTGTTTTTGCTAAAACAACTAATTTTGCAGCCTAGTAGCTTTTCTTCACATTCAGATATTGTATATTCAGTGACTTGTCTGAATAGATTTCTTCTGTATGTAGATTTTGGTTTCTGTAGTTTTTGTCAAAATTTTCTTCCCTTATACTTAGTAAAGAAAATAGAAGACCATTGGAGCGTTCCATTCCTTTGAGAAATATTTAGATTATTTAATCAACTGTTTCAGCTAGCCAAGAATA